CCCACCACGGCGTGGTGTAAATGTACGAGTGAGACTTGTGTAAGGCAAGCGCCAGGGAGCTAGTCGGCATGCTGGCGGACTCTGAATTGTCTTACCGAAACGTCTGCCGTGCTGGCGAAGGTTATCAGATGTTAAGGGTAATACGCTGAAAAAGAGTTGGGCTCGTCCGTTCTGACGCAATTACAGCCGATCTACAAGCCACGAAGCAACAGGCTAGACCATTTCCTAGTCGAGCAACAGACACTGTCAGGGCCGTAGTTGGATACCAGCAAACCATGCCCAGTGCCTACGAGGCCTAGCATAAAGAGCGGCAGTTGGAAAAGTCGCGATGTAGCTGGTTTTTAGTTGTACGTCTCGACAGCATCTTCGTGTGACAATCGAGATAGCTGTGATGACATTATGGACACGGTCACACGACGTAAACAGAGGAATGGCGATACAAATACCAGTGGCACACAGCACACGGCTACGCCCGCCATCCGCCGTCAAACAAAAGCAACGGAGCATTTTGCAGTGTGAGATGGGTGTCTCGGCTGGGTGTGTAGCCGCCGCTTCCTGCCCTCGACAATGGACAAGGTAGGAAAAGCAACCTGCGGATCCAGTCTGCTGGTGCAGAGCAGCAACAAGAAAGCTGCAAATCACCGAATGACGAAACGGCGGGTTTGGAGTGGCAGTCAAGAGTCAGGCAAAGCCTGGCACAGCGAGACGCGGGGCTAAGTCTGCCTGACACTGTCTGAAGGTTGCTAGTATCGGGCGACGGTGGGAGCATGACGGCTCGAATCACACGAAACCTTGAAGCCACCCGTCTTTCGGTGGTGATAGCGTCGGGATGAAATCACAGTCCGGATCCGCTCGATAATGCCCTCAGACGGTTTGGCTCAGTCAATGCGATGCTCGCCTCCAATGGATTTGAGCGCATTGTCGAAAAAACAAGTACCGGAGGGATTCCATTGGCAATTTCGTCGTGATCGGTTTGGCGGAAGAAGGCAGTCTACTACTGAAGGCAGTCTACTACTACTCCTCCGCTTGCTTACAAACAAGACTACCTGTATCTCCCTTAGGTACCCTGGCTGAATCTTTCATGCTCCTTTTGAGTTGATCGCTACCGACGCAAGCTTGCCCAAAAAAAAAACGCCCCCACCTTCCACATCTCCCCGGTGAGGCCGGCTCTCAAGCCAAGGACCCGTTGCACGAGTACTGCTATCCAGGAAATGCGCGGGGAACCGTGACTGACTGTACCCGCGTCGTCTCTGCAAGGCGTTAGGCTTCTGGATTGTCAAAGGTCTTGCTCCACGCCCAAGTCAGCATTCTCGAGAGGCGTTACATAGGGTCAAAGATGTGCCGAATGCACACTTGAGGTACCACGTACCTGCTAACCATGGAGCTCCCACCCCGGCAAGTCATCCACGATCCGCCATTCACTAGTGCCTGCCCCAGGGATGTGGTAGATCACCTACAGTGTGTATAGCACCACGGACGCACTGCTGACAACCGTGGTGCCTGCGACTTTCCAGCCAGTCTGCAGCCCGCTGGAGTGCTTGCATCGAGGGGAGAGAAGGGCGCCCGGCACTGTCCACGCTAGCAATGCCAATCTCTCCGTGTCGCAACCAAATTCACCCCCCTCCCAAATTTCCATGATCCTCCACCGAAAAACCCGCTTGGCCGTTACCCTCACCTTTCCAGACCAAGCTCGGCCCCGCCTCGTCTCCTGCTGGGTCGTCATTCGTTGCGTCTCCAGTCCTCGATGTCTCTAGTGCTTGTGCTTTACGCTCGTCTCGTCTTCCGCCCCCGTCTTCTCCATCGGGCATCAGGCCTTCGAATTCTACGATACGACAAGAGTGTGCGGTCCTGACGAAACGATTGCCCCTAGCACACCATTGCAGCAAGCATTGCACTGGCCAGACGAATCGTCATTTCTGTTGGCGAGAGCATCGAGCTTGGAATCTTCCCGGGGCAGGGGATAGACACAGGGCACCATCCGGGCCATCGTGCGCGGCCCTACAGTCAATTATTGGACAGTCCCCCGCTTCCCCTTTTGGCCAACAAGCGAAGCAGCAGGTCTGTAGGCGTTGATCGCATGGGAGCTCCAGCGGGAACAAAGAAACCGAAGCTACCTACCTGCTGCAGGCATCGCGGAGGACCATAATTATACCTGTGCGCCCAGGCTGTCGCGGGCTTTTTGCCAAGGTGTGAAAATAAAACCCGGCAAGCTCTGTCAAACCCTGCTTCGACAGAGCTGTTCTCTCTGCTTTTCAAGCTGGCTCGACTACCTAGGTACCTAATAAGCAAAGCCTACAGCTCTGGGTACCCATCCGAGGCCCGAAAGTCTTCGCATACCCTTCTCCCACGTCCCGGCGTCCTGACAACCTGTACGCACGCACTCGGGGACCTTTTCTTATTTTTCCTACCCGAGCAAGGCATGCAGCAGGTGCAGTAGGCTTGCCTCAATTTGGGTGTCCTCCCAGCGCAACCCCCAGCTGCGAGCACCAGCCAGTCCCAACGCCGTCCCCCCCGAGCCGTCCCCACTCTCCACCATTGACAAGCCAGCCAGGCCACCAGACCACCCAGGGCCACCCCCAGCTAATCATTTCCCTCTTGCCCAGAAGCTGATCTTACTGGCTCGCGCGCGAACCCCCCTCCCCTGAGCTTGCATTCCCCCTTCCCATCTCATCCCCCATCAGCCAACACTGGACCGTGGACTGGGCCACCCACCGCCGCAACCACCACCTCTCTTTTCTTTCCTGTCCTCTCCACTGAGACTTCGCCAATTCAATTCCATCGACGACCTCCTCCGCCGCCGCCCACCCCCCCCCGTTGCCCAACGATCGACGAACAACCGCCATCCCCTACCGTCCACCCTTCCCCTCCTCCCATCTCTCACCCTCTCCGAGTCGTTCATACACGTCCGATCTTCGTCGCCATGAATTCGCAATCTCCAAACGACGTGTCGCCCGAGGCGATGCAGGCGCGCATTCAACAGGCGCGCCGCGAGGCTGAACCCTGAAGGACCGCATCAAGAGGAAGAAAGGATGAGCTTGCCGACACCACACGTCAGTTCGCTCCCCCCCCCTTATCGTCCATATACCCATCTCCCGCCGAGATGCTGTCCGCCCGGCGACTCTGTCGCGTCGTCCGAGAGAACCCCCACTGACAATTGACAACAGTTCGATCCGTTGCCCAACAAGCCCACGAGCCGATCCCTAGGGGCCAGCTCATGAAGGCCAAGCGTACCCTCAAGGGCCACCTCGCCAAAATCTACGCCATGCACTGGTCGACCGATCGCAGGCACCTCGTTTCCGCCTCGCAAGACGGCAAGCTCATCATCTGGGACGCCTACACCACGAACAAGGTCCACGCTATTCCCCTGAGATCCTCATGGGTCATGACTTGCGCCTACGCCCCTAGCGGCAACTACGTCGCCTGCGGTGGTCTCGACAATATCTGCTCCATCTATAACCTCAACCAACAGCGCGATGGCCCCACGAGGGTCGCCCGCGAGCTCTCTGGCCACGCCGGTTATCTCTCTTGCTGCCGCTTCATCAACGACCGGAGCATACTGACGTCCTCTGGAGACATGACTTGCATGAAGTGGGACATTGAGACGGGACAGAAGGTTACTGAGTTCGCTGACCACCTCGGCGACGTCATGAGCATCAGCCTCAACCCGACAAACTCCAACACCTTCATCTCCGGTGCCTGCGATGCCTTCGCCAAACTCTGGGACATTCGTGCCGGAAAGGCGGTTCAGACTTTTGCCGGTCACGAGTCAGATATCAACGCAATCCAGTTCTTCCCGGACGGCCACTCATTCGTCACGGGCTCCGACGATGCCACCTGCCGACTGTTTGATATCCGTGCCGACAGAGAGTTGAACCTCTACGGCGTATGTACCCTGTTCCCCACAACGATGGCCTCCCTCCAACGCGAACCCTTGCTGACAAATCGTCCACGTACAGTCCGAGTCTATCCTCTGTGGCATCACCTCCGTCGCAACCTCCGTCTCCGGCCGCCTGCTGTTTGCCGGCTACGACGACTTTGAGTGCAAGGTCTGGGACATCACCCGGGGCGAGAAGGTCGGTTCGCTCGTCGGCCACGAGAACCGTGTCAGCTGCTTGGGTGTCAGCAACGACGGCATCAGTCTGTGCACAGGCTCTTGGGATTCTCTTGTGAGTGCTGTGTCTATGAAACTATGTTCGTTCCCTACGTTGCTAACCTCGGCGTAGCTCAAAATCTGGGCGTACTAGAATCGCCTCGACAAAACGGAAGCACCACAAAATACTTTCTGGAAACACCGGTCCCAGTGCTCGCAACTCCCTGCTAATCCCAACACGAGTGGCTTTTCCATCGCCACCTAATTGCCGACCTCTACGCCACCAACCCCCCCTTTCTAATGCGCGAGTGCTGGCGCAGCCGGGACGAAGTCACGATACACCTGCTCATAACCGCCTCTCGCTTCTCCTCCTCCACAACACTATCGGCTGCAGCAACCCTCCGCCATTGACGTTGCACTGTTGGCGACCCTCTGCACCATAGTTTTGTTTCTCTCCCTTACTAGCACTCAGACCGCTAGTATCGACGACTGTATCACACTTGAGAGGTTTTCCCATGTTCTCTTTTTTTCAATCCATGTACGCTTCATAAGTCTCCCCGCTATGCCTGTCGCCGACGACGATGGGATAGCTGAGGGAGATTGCAGGACCGAGGCGTTGATACCCACCTTTCACCAAAATCAGCCCTTTCACGGCCGACGCTCGCGCTTCTGATCTCTCCTAGGCTTGTCCACGCGCATCGGCAAGTTAGCACGACAAGGGTCAATGGTTACACCTATCCCTCAAACGCTTCTACACCAGTCCTATTGCACGGATCCCCTAACTGCGATGGGTGCTCGTTAAGTCAACCAACTCGGATTCTCTTCGTTGCGCGTCACGAGA